CCTCTGGCTCCCATGCAGCTCACCTTCTCTGCCCTAGGAGCTTGGGATGGTGGTGGGGGAGCTTCCTTCTGGGTGCTGGGACCGGCTCAGCTTCTCTGCCCTAGGAGCCTGGAATGGAGGCGGGGGAGTGTTCTTCTGGGTGCTGGGGCCGGCTGAGCTTCTGTGCCCTAGGAGCCTGAGATGGAGGCTGGGAACTTCCTTCTGGGTACTGGGACCAGCTCACCTTCTTGGCCCTAGGAGCCTGGGATGGCAGTGGGGGAGCTTCCTTCTGGGTGCTGGGACCAGCTCACCTTCTTGGCCCTAGGAGCCTGGGATGGCAACGGGGTAGCTTCCTTCTGGGTGCTGGGACTGGCTGAGCTTCACTACCCTAGGAACCTGGGATGGAGGTGGGGAGCTTCCTTCCAGGTGCTGGGACTGGCTGAGCTTCTCTGCCCTGGGAGCCTGGGATGGAGGTGCAGAGCTTCCTTCTGGGTACTAGGCCCAGCTCACCTTCTTGGCCCTAGGAGCCTGGGATGGTGGCGGGGTAGCTTCTTTCTGGGTGCTGGGACTGGCTGAGCTTCACTGGGGGGCCCATATATTTAGTCAAACATTATAGATGTTTCTGTGATATTATATGAGATCAACATTTGGATGAGATCAACATTTACCCTGATGGACTTTGAATAAAACAGATTGCCCTCGATAATTTGAGTAGGCCTCATTCAGTCCACTGAAGGCCTTGATAGAACAAAAGACTGCGCTTTCCCAGGCAAGAGGGCATCCTGACTTCAGACAGCCATTGGACTTCTCCTGCAACATGGACTCTTTCCTGGGTCTATACTCTGAGGGTCCCATGGATTTTAGACTTACTAACATCAGTGATATCTTGAAACAATTCCCTAAAATAAATCTTTCTGTATATCTCCCATTGGTTCAATTTTTATAGAGAACCCTCACTAGTACAGTGGTTGAGTTCCATCATGTAAAGGGTGGAGGATTTTAAAATGAGACATCTCTCTTTAAGAGTAACTCCTCTTCCAATTTTATTTAAATGGTAGAGACTCTTATTAGTTTTTTTTTAAAATACTATGTCTTGAATGTAGGAGTTTATAAATCATTTAAAAGATGCTTTATTTAAGCAAACACAATAAATTGGAACAAAAACTAGGAAAAGAAGTAGCCTATGTGGGTCACATTTTAACAAGTATTAGACTGAATTCCTGGCTGACAAGGTCAGTTGCACCATTTTTAGTTCAATCTCTGATCAGGTTGAACTGTATAAAATTGCTGATATTTGAATGTGTCCAACCTATTTAGAAAAGGCAGTTGCTCATGGTTCATTCTAATAGGAATATATTGTATATTACATTCTTTGTACAATAATGGCCAGGAAAAAACCTTTCTAAATTCTTTCCCATATAGTTTCCTTGATTTTGAATCAGTTATTCTAGGACCAGTAAGATAAGACAGAAATAATCAAATACTTTGCATGAAGAACACACAAACTTCAGCAAGGTGATTGATTACATGTTTTTCATCAAATTTTGAAATGTTAGCTGTATTTTCAAGTACAGTGAAGCACCTTAAAATGATAGATACAACCTCTTTTCTCTATGTCTTCTTCCCTAAACCCTATTCCATGGACGTAGCTTGGCTACTTGCCAGGTGTTCACACTGATGCTGTTGAAGTACAGTTAGTATTCAGTGTGCTCATAGGTGGTACTGATAAACCTGCATAAGGATCATTTCTGACATCACTAGTGATCCTTAGTGGATCAAGATGTATAACTGTGAAATGGCTCCTGACATTTGGATAGGACTTGACAGTTTAGAAAAATCACTCTCCTTTCATCTGTGCACAAACATCATAGCATCCATTGTCTTTCCCACTTTTATAATGGAGAAGATGCAGTCTAGATGGCTGAATTCTCTGGCTGTGGTTTCATAGCTTAGTGGAAGGGGCTGAACAGTAAATCCCACTGGGCACTGCTGGTTACCACCTAGAGATTGACTGCTAGCTTTCTTGCAATTTTCCCTTCTTCCAGTAGGCTCTACCCATTTTGTGGATTAACTCATCACTGGACCATAAGTTGCTCAGGTAGCAGGATTCAGTGAACATTTTCAGAATTGGGTTTCCAAGGAAAATCAAAGCACCTCCCTCCTATATTCTGGTGAGTGACCTTGGCTGTCTCTGGGCTTGTTCTTTTTCTAAGACATAGTGCTGTCTTTGCCCATAGAAGTGCAGGCACTTTGAAAACCCAGCCATGAGCCTGCAGTAGAGCTGAAATATGGCATCAAAGCAGCCATCTGCATGGAATACAAACTCACTTGCCTGTGTATTCAGAGAAAAGACAACATTGGAATACTCATGTCACTGTTGTCTAGAAAGCTGAATTTGGAAACCATGGGGGAATGAATTAGTGATGGGCTTCTTAAAGCCCTGCCTGAAGTGCTAGGGAATAGCAGGGCATAAGTGGGAGATATGGAATGTGGCCTGCACACCAGTCTGACTTAGCATATGTGAACTGGGAGTTCCTTACCTGTGAAAGTACAGATTGCAAGCCTCACAGAACATGTACCAAAGCGCAAGAGGTGTGTCCCCTTGTTTTCTGTCTGCCTCAGGACTGTGCAGAGAGTACAAACACACAGATTGGAAACAAAAATAGTTAGGATCAACATCAGCAAAACATTCTTTGTGGTCACAGAACAACATTACCTCTGTAGTTAAGGAAAAATTACCACTCTCTTTCTTTCACTACATTTTAGCACTCTTGCTAGTGTCTATCTTTCTTTGAAGGAAAATAAACAATTCTCCTTTGCTATTTGGTTATCTGAGTTTCTCTTCACTACTACAAAAGCTCACTGAGCTTGTGAATCTGTCTGTAAATTTAGCTCACCAGTTCCCTAATTGTATATTTTCTTTCTTGTGAATTTATTTCTCAGGCTTTTGCCTAGACATTTATAGCTGCTCCATTCTTCCTGGCTCAGTGCCACAGGGACAATTCTGGCACAAAACAGACATTAACAGACTAGAATACAAGATCATTCTCTTATCTCACTAATTACCACTCCATCCTGCTGCCAAAATCTTCAGGTCTTAAAGAGAAAACAAACAATTTACCTGAAAAGCAGGGGCAAGATATGCATGTGATTTTGCTTCCTTGGGTGTATTCTCTCAGAAGAATTTTCAGCATTGACTTCTGTGGTTGGCATAGAGTTTAAAAAGCAGTTGTGATGACAAGATAGGCAAGGGGCTGGAGTCTCCTGGTTATTAAATTGAGCCTTGGTTTCTCCATTTGTTAAATGCCTAATAACAGTCACCTCATAGTTTCTGAATATCAAATAAAATAAACAAGAAAATGCTTTATAATCTATAAAATGCTATGTTAGCTTTAGTTGTCATGTTGGTGACTATGGTTTTGAGAAGTTAGAGTCTCAGCACTGTCAATTTTGAGTTGTCTTTTATATCATTCTCTTAAGGTGAATGACTTTGAATAGGTATTAACTAATAATACCCACACATGCACATACATAAATATATACATACAGATATGTACCAGTTAAAAAGAGGAATAAAAATACTTACTTGTTGATTTCTAAGCATTGTTAAAAGAATTGATTTTGTGAGTGTACACAATCTTGAGAGGAGTTAGAAAACTATGACTTAAGGAGCAAATGTGACCAACTGACTGTTTTTGTAAACAGAGTTTTATTGTGACACAGCCTTGACCGCATGTGTACTTGTGTATGACTGCTCTTGGTGCACAAAGGCAGAGTTGAATTACTGCAATAGACTATGTAGCATAAATATGATTAAAATACACCTACACATTGAAACATCCCAAAATCATGTGAAACTAGGGGGGGGGAAATGATTAAAGTATGTTATGTGCATGTATAAATCTGCCAAAATGAACCCATTATTCTGTATATTCAATATGCACTAATAAAAAATGTGGGGGGAAAAAGACTACAGGGCTACAAAGACTAAACTATTCACCATGTGACCCTTTACAGAGACTATTTGCTGACTTTTCAGTTTGATCAAAGGCTTTTTGTAAAATGGAAGGGTTTTTAACTTCTGGATGTGAACACGTTTTTTATTTTCCTCAGCAGTTCAGCGAAATGGACATTTTGATACACCGGTGGGCACTGTTTCTAGAGAACACTTTGGATATAGGTATGATGAGTTTGAAAAATTCATGTTCATTCTTATTTGCTGAGTACAAAACAATGATATTAACTATTTACTCCTGAGGTATGGAACTTCAAATGTTTATCAAAACAAACAATAAAAAGATCTCCTCTAACTTTTAAAATCCCCTGCTGACATTTTAGAATCTTCATAAGGACCAGATAAAAGCGGGGCATACTAATTAAATGATGTTGGGGGAAGTTAAATGCCTAAAACCATTGCCTTTTTAGTGGTGATTGTTTAAGGAGCTATAGAGAGAAGTCTTTTGGTATGTGATAGGCATCCTCTAATTTGTTCATTTTGCAAGCTTAGAGCCCTTACATTTACTTCAGTTTGAATAGATCCTGACTTTTAAGTCACTCTGCCTTTTTCCAATCAAATGTTTCTGCTTCTCTTGTAATTGACAGAGACACAAACCTCAAATTGAAAAACAGTTCAATATTGATAACAAAAATATTATTTTTTGTGTTTTTGACTTGCCTTTTTTGGGAGCAATTCATTTCATATTGAAAGTTCTTGGGCTGGGGTAGAGTTTAGTGGTAGAACATTTATCTGGCATGCACAAGGCCCTAGGTTTAATCCCCAGCATTACCAAAATAAAAAAAAATTAATGGCTTGATGACTTATTTTAAAGACTCAGTAACAAAATATTTCCACTAGAACAGATGAAGAAATGGACTACAAATTTAGGGCCCTTGTTATGGCTTAAACATGGCTTTATGCTGAGATCTATTTGCATTAATTATTCTTTTGTACTCTGTGTACATAGGAACAAGTAAACAACTGTAGCCAGAGTTGTCTGTGATAGATCCCTTCATTGGTGTCTTACCTCTTCCTTCAGGGATAAATGCATCTGGGAACCCATGACAACTAGGCAAACTAACTTGGAGGTGCACGTAGCATTTTCTTGGTGAGGAAACCTTCTGTATTTCTCCCTTGCTCTCCTACTTCAGTAGCAATGTACTGTGTCAAAGGCACAGTGAGGTGCATTGGGAGGTAGCTACTGGTAGATGGTAAGTACTCAGCAACTGTTCAAGTTCAATTTCAAGGTCGAATAATTATATTGAAAGTCTTGGGGCTTCTAAATACATATACAAACGTGTTTTCTCACACTTAGATGTGCAGTGTTGGTGATCACAGTTAGTTTTGCTTCAAAAAAGAGACAGAAGCTAGGCTCATTAAAAAATAGATTATGTACTGTATTCTGTGTCTATTATGATAAACATATAAGGATGGATATGATTTATAGATAAACATGTCCCTAAAGATGGAGTGCTGCTTTCTTGGCAGGATGGGATACTTGGTGAAAAATTCTGAGAAAGACCTGCCTTTTCTGTGTAATATACAAACACACCGCAAGATGTGATTTGTTTGAGGATAGAAACAGAATGGGTATTGTTTCTATTTCTACTGTTAAATTTTCCTGAAAAATAGAAAAGGTTGTCAAACTGATTATTAGATCTGAGAATATAAAGAAAGCATGGGTGAGTTAACATACAGGGGAAAGGACTTCCAGTAATTCACTCTATAAAACAAAACTTCATGGTAAGTTTTTCAAATAAAAAGAAATCATTAAATGTATAAGCATAAAAAATTAATGGTGACTTTACATTTGTAAAATGTTCCATCTTCATTCCAAGGATCATTGGCTCACAGTGGCCTTGTTGTTAATTGTGCTTTGTCCTGTGAATTAAGTAGTAGAGAAGATTTTGCCAAAGTGGGGGAAGTGTTGTTATATTCATGAGATCTTTGTTAATAAAAATAGTTAAATTTAGAAATAAGGAGTGGGGTTTGAGGGAGAATTTTACATTTCATTTTGTCTTTCTAAATTGCATGGGAGTTTTACTATTTGTGTGTAATAATTTTATCATTTAAAAGTGTTGAGGCTGATTTAGGAGGTAGAATTCCTATATATTTCTCAGCATTTGAAAATATCTAACATATGTTATTAAAAACAATATTTCTTAGATATACTGTGGTGGCAGTTTACAGTCTTTTAAAGTCATTATACAGAATAAATAGGAGGAGATTTTAATTTCTGTCTTTTTTGTTCTGTAGTTAATAATGAAGTAGAGCAGAACCTACTGTCCTCCTCAGCCCTCCCGTCATTCCCATTACCCACTCTGCCAGTCTGTAGAGAACAGTGCATTTAATCACCACTGCGGCTAGTTATAATTTCACATCCTGACAACATACAGAGTTGAATAGATCTAATACTCAGTAGTCTGATAATTGAAAACATCAAGGCTTATTAAGTCAAGGTTTAAATTTTCTAGTAGCTTCAAATTCATAATCAAGAGAGCCCAGATTTCTGAGCTGTTACTTCTCTCACATAGAAGAAACCAGAGCTACATAGTGATAGAAAATTGATACACAAGAAGAGGAGGAGGGAAAGGAGGAGGGAGAGGCGGAAGAACCAGAGAAAGAATAAAGAGATCAGAGTTACATCTTGGGTCAAGTCAAACTCTATTATCACCTGTTACATCTCTTTGGTAAATTTTATGTAGATAGAATGTCTCCAATAAACATATAAGTACAACTTTAACCAATATATAAACATTTATTTGAAATCATATTGTGAGACACTCGGGGAAATATCACTAATACCCCTAACATAGGGGCTTGGAACTTAGATGACTTTGGAGTTAGCCCATTGTTAGTTTATCCATGCAATCAATATTGTGAAAGAGATTAACTCCAAATCCACTGATATTAAGGCAAAGGACAGAAATTTTTGACTTCCCTATCTGGGGATCCAACAATGTACAGCAGAATTGCTAAATTGTTAAAGCCAGGGCCTCTAACAGTGTCACTATCTTCTGATATCTTTCTACTTTGCCTGTTGGCTTTTTCCTCTCCAATATAAGAGGTGGTTCCTGGAAAGACTTCCAGGATGATGTTTTTTCAGTCCAGTGGGGTAAAGAAGTCTTTACCACAATGTTAATTATTAGAGTGGTCCAGGGAGGATTCCTGTTGTCCTTTGGAGGGTCCATAGCCAGTGGTCCTAGCTGCATGTGGTACAGTTGTTGGTCTAGCAGGGCTCCTCTGCCCGCTTCAGTGGTTGGGAAAGTGATAGAGAGAAGATCATGATTTGCAGCCTGATAAAGTTCTCCCAAAGAAACTAGCATGAGTATGATGGGACAGCACATAGGAAATGAAAAATCTATAGCATTTGTAGTCTCCTATAAGTGGCATCAAAAGCCATTATTTCCTTATTGTTCTTACCACCCTAAATGTAACACTATTCAATCTTGGTTATATCAACTTAGGACCTTGAGCTTGTGAGGCAGTCTCAGTGCCACTGAGCTAAATCCCTGGCTGGGACAAATGCCTTTCAGCCATTCTTCTGATATGTAGCAGCTAAGTGACTTTCAAGTACAGTGTACAAAATAAATTATAGAATGTCAAAGCTATAGAATTATGACTTCTCTGAATATATGATCAACACTTTATTCTGCTTTTTCTCTAAAAATACATCTTTGAGTGTCTAGGTCCAATATCTTACATTAAATAGCAAGTTGGTTGCAGGCATGGGTATGTTCCCAAGAGAGACAGGAAGGCATAGTGACTGATTATACTGATTTGAAGTCAGGAAACACTATGATTTAATTCTGAATTTGTTGTGTGACAAGTTATCTGGCCAAAGTTTCTTTGCCTTTCTCCTTAGTAAACATCAGATAATACTTAGTGTTGTTGCAAATGCTGATGAGATGATATTTATAAAGGACTTAAGTCAGAACTACATAAAATGCTCATAAATGTGTATTTGTTTAAATGTTTGTGAGTTTGAATATTATTATTCATTTTTTATAGCATAGGGAGAATCCTGTCAAAATCCATGCAAGATCATATTGTCTCTTTTATTGACTTCTGATTCTGTATTTATACATGAACCAAGTTATGTGTCCCAACACTGTAAGATCACTCTAAGATCACTGATCACTGATTTAGTCATTTTTCTTGGTATAAGGTGACTAAATATAGCTTAAGCCTCCTCAGGTGCCATCATTTCAGATGTTTTCACATTTGTTTTGAAATTGTCCACTATGTCACAGAGTGATCTTTGCTCCCTCCTCACCTGAGAAATTCCCGTCCAAGTCTGGTTCTAAGAAAAGCTTTCTCTCCCTTGGGGAAGT